TAGCCGAGGAATACACACGGCGTGGAGCGAGGTTGAAGTTTATGACGAGTGATAGGACGGAGCCAAGGATAGCAGAGTGAGCCAAAGATACGAAGAGAAGTGTAATCAGGGGGTTGAGAGTAGAGAATTTCGAGTGGGGTTTTGTTGTGGAGTAGAGGAGTAGGCATGCGGTTGATAAGATAAACGGCTGTGTCGAAATCATAGGACCAGAATTTGAGGGGAACAGAGGCATGATGAAGAAGAGCTAAGCCGGTTTCAACCACGTGGCGATGTTTGCGTTCGGCGCAACCATTTTGTTCAGGAGTGTAGGGACAAGATGAACGATGAATAATGCCATGAGCCTTGAGGTAGGAACCCAATTTTTGATATTCACCGCCCCAATCGGCTTGGAAAATCTTGATGGGGCGATCAAAGACTTTTCAACTTGGGTGCGGAATGTGATAAAAATGGACAAGAGATTAGATCGATGACAAGTGGGAAAGATCCACGTAAATTTGCTAAAGTGGTCGTAGAACAAAATGTAATATAAATGGACGTCGACAGAAAATTCAGGGGCAGGTCCCCACACATCACTACAAATTAAATCTAATGGACCAGTAGCTATAAATCTTAGCAACACTACAACCATGACATAACTGATCGGGCTGTTTATTGGATAGGGGAAGAGAATGCTGATGAAGAATTTGACGAAGAACACGAGTGTGAGGATGACCGAGGCGTTGATGCCAGTGAGACAAAGTGGAGTGGAGCGCACGAGGAGCCACGTGGGAGAGGATGGAGAGTGGAATCGAGTAAAGGCCGTCTTTACTCCGACCGCGATGAAGGATTTTCTGCGAGCGTGTGTCCTTAATTGTGAAACAATCATAAAAAAAAATTGATAGAAAGGGGATTAGTGCGAGTAAGAGAATTGATAGAGAGCAGGTTATGAGAAGCAGAAGGAACGTGGAGAATATTATTGAGACAGAAGGGATGATGATGAAAGGAGGCAATAGAAGAGCCGGAGTGAGAGATGGGTAGGGAGTTACCATTGCCGAATGCTACCTCGTCCGGGCCATGATATTAAGAATGCAAGGCTAGGTTATTGAGATCGGATGTGATGTGGTAGTTGGTACCAGAGTCCATGATCCAATCTTGGGGAGTGCTGGAAGGGCTGGCGTAATTGGTCGAAGGGGAATAGCGGTTGGCGAGGGAGGGATTGGGACAATGTTTGGCAAGGTGACCAAAGCCCTGACATGTGTAGCACCGTAATGGGCCGGTGTTGCTGGAAGAAGGACGGTTGTTGGGTCGGGCCCCAAGAAGACCTGCTCCAAAACCGGGACCTGCAAACTGGTTAGAGAAATCAAAGGAAGAGGAAGGGCGATCACCGCGGCCGCCGCGGCCGCCTCTGCCGCGTCCTGGAGAACGCCCAGCAAATTTCCCACGCCCGCCACCGCCGCGCCCATAATTGGCCTGGGGAGTGCTGCCATCGTGAAGAAGGCCGAGGTGGCGGAGGCGGTGCTCTTCGTTGAGGAGAAGACCATGGAAATCGTCAAAGGGAATGAGCTCCAACTTGGCTTCGAGAGTGCGAACAAAAGGCAAGAAGTCCTCGCCAAGGCCACGGAGACAGCGATCGACAAGTTCATCATCAGGTACCGGATGGTTGAGAGCAGCGAGCCGGTCAGCAACCTCCTGGGCACGGGTGAGGAATTTGGCGCTGGAGTCGGTGCCGCGAGAGAGTTCGCCGAGCTGGGTGCGGAGACTGCAAAGTGTCTGGGGATTGCCGGAGCCGTAAGCCGAAGCCAGACGGGTCCAAGCTTCGAGAGCAGTGGAGCAGCCTACCAGTCGAGAGAGAACAGCATCAGTGATGGAGCCCACGATCCAGGAGAAGACTAGTTGATCGCGGCGACGCCAGGCATCATAGGCGGGATTGGAAAGACCATCGGAGAGGAGGCGAGACGGTGCCGGGAAGCTGCCGTCAACAAACTTGGAGAGGTCGAAGCTTGTGAGGAGGGGAAGAATCTGCATTTGCCAAAGAAGGTAATTGGTGGCTGTGAGTTTGACGGAGATGTCAGGAGCAGGAGGAGGGTTGAAATTGGAGAATGAGGAGTCGGATTGAGGAAGAGGACCAGTGGTTTCAGATGAAGATGTCGCAGAGGTAGACATGATGAGAAGAGAAGAGGAAGTTTGGAGAGAAGAGATAGAGATGGGGGAACAAAAACTGGATTCCTATTTAACGCCCTAACTTTATAAAATTTTCGCCCTAAATTAACAAAACAGACGAATATACCCCTCGTCGCCCTAAACCACTAAAACAGAATTCTCAGGGTGTTTCCTCTGCTCCGCTGCCCTGTCAACATTTGGATCCTTCCCCCGTTGCCGACACTGCGCCCTACAACTTCCTTCCGCTCGAGAGTTGTCGCCACGACAAACTTCTGATGCCTCGTCGCCCTTTCGGGGACGTCGAGCCCCCCACTGCCTTCCGTTGCTCGCGTTCGAGAAAGGAAGAGGAAGAGGGCGGAATGGCGAGTCTTCGCCGCGAGAATCTTCCGCTGCTCTGCTGCCGGGGGCGAGGACTTCCAGGCGAACGGCGGCGGCGGGGGAAGATTAATCTCGGGGCGAAGGACGCGACGAGATGTCTTTCCTTCTTCGTCCTCGAGCGGACGACCCGCGATCTCAATTACTCCCTGCAAAACTTTCAATCGCACTCCCCCACGAAAATGGAACACTATGCTCTATGCATCCCTTCCTTATTCTCCTTGATTCGCGTTGTTTCGAGCTTCTTCGCCGCCGCAGTGGAAATCCTCTCCAAATCCAAGGTTTCTGCAATGCGAGAAATGCTATGATTCTCAAGACCTCAATTGCCCTTGTAAAATAGTCCTCAATAGCAGTTCCCAGCGGCGCCATAAGTGAATTTTGGTTCCCATTCAATCGCGTTAATCGATTGCATAATTTCATACGTTTAAGTCTCGTTTTCACTTGTTCTAGCGAACGGCGGCGACGGGAACAACTGAGCATAACGAAATTAGGTTAGGGCGACGGCTGGGGGCAAAAACGTCAACTTGCCTAAATTAGGGCGACAAATTTAAAAATGTAGGGCGTTAATTAGTACCTCTAAAAAAAAATTAGTTCGCCGTTGGGCAGGGAGGCTCTGATACCATGAAAATGGCTAAATTACACGTTTGGTCACTCAAATTACATAAATATTTCACATTTGCCACTCGAATTACTTTTCTTTCTTATTCGCCACTAACTTTACGAATCGTTTCACCGTTAGTCACCTGCCTTTACACTCCGTTAAGTTTGTCCTACGTGGCAGTCAACAGAAAAGTTTGACCGTTAACTAGATGACATGGAAATTAAAAAAAAATCCACATCATCATTCCCACTTACTTTATCTATATAATCTATCATATTAATCATTTAATAAAATTTAACTAAATTACAAAAATTAATTAACCGCGGCCGGGAAGATTTAATAGCTGAAAATGAGTACTAGCTTTTTCCGACGAGGAAGAAAAATCATTGTGTGGCCACAGGAGACGGGCTGATTGTGGGTGATTACTCTCGCTGCTCCGTCGAATTGGGAATGAGTGAGCGCGATTCCTCTCGCTGCTTCGATGACGATCTTCATTCTTGGTTCCCACACTAGCGGCCTTCTCATTCCTTCTCCATTAACGTTCTAGAATATGTTGACAACCCTAATTCCATTCGGTTGAGGCTAAAGCAAATACCCAATGTTATCAATTGAAAGTAAGATCTGAGTGATCTATTATCTACTTACATTGTAAGAGGGAGGAGAAGCTACCGACAGGAAGTAATTATAAACCAAGAGCTTCTCATCTTTGGAATAACAGTAAGCTTTCAGAGGAACCACACTCGGACGGGAGCCTTCTCAGCAGCTTCACCAATCACCGCCATGCAGCTTCCGTCCTCCAGCGCCGCCTTGTTCGTCGCCCCCAAGCTCCCTTTCCCCAAAACTTCCGCTGACGCCCTCAACATATATTCCAAATCAAAACTGTACCCACTCCCACTCGGCCACTCCCTTCAAACAAGAAGAGCTTGTTCTTCTCCGCACCTTGCACTCTGCCCCCAAACGACTTCGTTTTGGCGTTGTTGTTTCCTCCTTCGCTTTTCCGTTTCCCATTTTTCCTCCGACGCCACCGCTAACAGAACCGCCATCAAAAGAATCCCTGCCCCTGCAATTGCTACCGTGATGATGAAATTCCTGCTCAGCTTCCTCTTCCTAGTGGAATTGGAGGATGGGAGCTGATACGAAAGGGGAGGTGGAAGAGGCGGTGCGGAATCCGCCGTCGAGCAGCGCTTGAGCAGCTGGCCGCAGAGCAAGGTGTTGCCGCAGTAGGAATGGAGCGGGAATCGCTGGAACGAGGGAGGGATCTCGCCATTGAAGTAGTTGAAGCTGAGGTTCCAGAGCTTTAGATTCTCTAGGGGTGTTCGAAATTCTGCAAGGTTCCGGAGAATGAACACATAATTTTTGTAGTTTAATTAACTTTTATTGAATAATTAATTTAGATAAAGTAAGTGGGAATGATGATGTGGAAAATTATTTTTTTTTTATTATTTTTTTAAATTTTCATGTCATCTAGTTAACGGTCAAACTTTTCTGTTGACTGCCATGTAGGACAAACTTAACAGAGTGTAACGGCGAATAAGAAAGAAAATTAACGGTGAAACGATTCGTAAAGTTAGTGGCGAATAAGAAAGAAAATTAATTCGAGTGGCAAACGTGAAACATAAATGTAATTCGCGTTAATCGATTGCATAATTTCATACGTTTAAGTCTCGTTTTCACTTGTTCTAGCGAACGGCGCCGACGGGAACGACTGAGCATAACGAAATTAGGTTAGGGCGACGACTGGGGGCAAAAACGTCAACTTGGCTAAATTAGGGCGACAAATTTAAAAATGTAGGGCGTTAATTAGTACCTCTAAAAAAAAAAAAATAGTTCGCCGTTGGGCAGGGAGGCTTTGATACCATGAAAAGTCTATGATTCTCTATATTCAATTGAAGAGGAAGATACAGATTTATACAGATGCTATATGGCCATGCTTAGGCGTAGAGTAAGGCAGAAGAAATAGTAACAGAAAGATGTGAAGCAAGATAATAGGAAACAGAATAACAGATGCTTGATAGTGCCGGAAGACTCGGTCTGCCTTATCACCTCTCACGCTCTGCGATGTCTTCTTTGCGCTTTCATTTGCTCGCATTTCCAAGTCTCTCTCAACAACTCTCCGCTCTGCTAAAGCTCCCTTACAAAACCTCTTTTTTCAGCCTTCAATCCACCATAACCCCAGTCCTTCAGATTCTCTTGGTTTGCCAGTCACATCTTGCTGCCGAGAGAAACTTCCTGCTCTTTCTAGATTCCAAAGCTTGTGCTCCCTCCTCTCTGCAGTGTGTGTGTCTTGATTCTTGCCCATGAAATTTTGAGCGTATTTGATCGAACTATGCTCAACTTCTCTCGCCTGCAAACTGTTCGACGAAATGCCTGAGCCATGCATTCAGCCGCAGCAGTGAAGACGCGTCTCTTCGTTCCGCCGCCGAATTCCCTCCTCCCCGGCCTGAGTTCTCGTACGTTTCCAGTCTCCGTCTTTGCAGTCTGTCGGAGTAGAGTAGCGGTGGTGGTTGGGGGAGGCGGGTGTGGAGGGAGAGAGCAGGAGAAGACTGCTAGTAATGTTCTTTCTCTGCATCGAGCGGCGCCGCTGAAGGAAGAAGGGCCTCTCTTGGGCTTTCTTGACGCTAGGAAGAGGAATGTTAGGGATTCTTGCTGGGAGTTTGACGATGGGTTTGTGAGGAGGTGTAGCAAAGATTGGGGGGGCGAAGGTGATTCTGCTCTGGAAGCTGAGGTTTTCGAGTTTATGAAGAATTCTGAGAACCCGGAGATGTTTCCGTCCAAGAAACAGCTGATTGATGCGGGAAGAACCGATCTTGTGATAGGTATTTCGAGGCAGGGCGGCTGGATGGCTTCGGGGTGGGATTTGGAAAGCGAAGCAGAGGTAGTCTTGGAGTGGAAGACGGGTAGTGAATCAAGGGCTTCGCTTTCGGTTGACAAGAAGGCGGAAAGTGATCAAGAGCCGAGGCAGGAAGCCTCTCCCTTGCGTCTTACTTCCCATTCTACTGCTTCTTCGCCCCCGAGATCACTGTGAGGCTTCTAATTTCGGTTCTTCGTTTATTTCCATATCTGAATAGCTTTGTCAAGAAAAAGAATGATAAAACCTTTCTTGGATTGGGAAGTTTCTGCGAACCACTGGTTTTTGGTTTATACGTGCCTGGGTTAGTGTCGCTAGAATTCAGAATGGAAGCTGAGAAAGTATTAGCAATCAGCTTACTTGTTGTATGGGACAACCAATTCCCTCAAGTTATTCTGGAAGTTTTTCCGTGATAGTGATGCTCTCTTGACTGCTGGAATAAGAATGGAGGAAAAGGGTGTGTTTTGATACTGGATTTCGTTACAGAACTAACCTAATAGCTATAGTTTTCTTTTAATTTAACCTATTATATCATGCTCCCAGGGTGGCTGTTCACTATATTTGTTCATGTGCACCCAGAGAAACTGTTGCAGAGGATGATCCCGGAATTGATGCTATGTTGAGTAGACTGGAGATACAAAGAAAAGCGGATTTTGGATTTAAGATGCCCGAGAGAAGTAAAGTTACTCTTGTCCCCGGTCATCATCCTGAATACGATGAGCCTTCTAAAGCCTCCAAAGCTTCGGTATATACACTTGACTTGATACTTCGTATCAATTGATGATTAGTTGATGTCTCAGTGATAAGGGGCTTGGTCAGCTCATATCTTGTTCATTCTGTTTTCTTTGCTTTAGATCTGATGAGAACCCTATCATTAGATTTGCCTAACTAATAATAATAGTGAGGTTAAGATTCTCAATTAGTGAACTAGAGAAATGGAAGGAAACTATAATTGGACTTTATGAACCAATCTAAAAATTGCTTTTAGCATTAGAAGGGTGTGTGAAACAGTACCAGTAGAAAGGGCCTTTTAATTTCTTGTTGGAAATTATTTGCTTATTTTCCCCAAAATTATTTACCAACTTTGTATTGCTCAACTGAATGTCATGTTATGTACTTGGATAATCTTGTTAGCAATCACCACTTTTAAGAATTTCTCCTCTCATAGCCTCCAAATTGCAGATAACAACTGCTTTACATGAATTTCTCCTCTCTTGTAAATGTGCTCAAGTGAAATTCAGTGCTCTTTCTGAATATAACTTCTGCTGTTTCTTATGCTGCTAAAGACTGTAGCTGATATGAAAAACATCAGTGAATCTGCTTCACTAAAGAGAAACAAGAATGACCACTCTCGAGCAGGTTCAGAACCCTTTAGCACTCAGCTTCGGCATACGGAATCAAAGCTTTCAGCTATAGTTAATCCATTAAAATCAGGTTCTGGTGACAATTTGCTGCACAAGGTAAGTTTGTTATCATTTCTTTATTTACTGTGTAATTTGGGAGTAATTTTGTTTTAAGGTTGCTAAAAGATTTGCTCGAGACAGGAAAGGAGGAATAAAATCTTGTCAATGAAACAGAGTGTTAGAATACTCCTTAGAAATATGTTTTATTTATCAATTTCTGTGTAATGCTGTAATGAAAAATCAGATTTCGATCTGAAAGAGTGACATGCAATAGAGAATGTACGCATTAACTATGCATTTTTATTGTCGAACTTTGTCCTCCTGGTAATCTAATCTAACCTGTCATTCTTCGTCAGGCTATGGAAAATGCACCTGATAAACATCTGGAGCTTTATGATGCTTGGGAATTCCAGGAAACTGGCATAATGAAACGGCAGAACAAGTTGCGGTCAATCCGTGCAAAGATAGCGATCGTGGAAGGCAGAATGGCTCTTGCAATACTGTATAGTCCATTCTATTTATCTTTATTGACCCTCTGAGCAAATGCACCTTTGACTTACCTAGGGATTTCTTTTTTGCCCCCATTCCCAGTGATGCACAAAGGCTAGTGGAACAGAAACAGAAAAGAATCGATCATGTTCAAAAAGGCACCGAGCTTCTTAGGAACGCCTACATCACTTTGCCAACTGAAGCCTCAGAAGTGTTTGTAGCAGGATCATTTGATGGATGGGCTACAAAGGTGGGATCCTCTCTATCTCAAGGTTTCTTCTGTCGATCATTAGTGCTGTGCTTCCAGAACTTCAGCTCATAAACGCTAACTTGTCTCTCGCAGAGAAAGATGTTCAGGTCAGCCACCTGTATTTTCTCCTTGTTTCTCAAATTGTATCCGGGCAAGTATGAGGTAAATCCTTCGTTGCAGTCTCTGTTTGTGTCGTGATGCTACAGTTCCTGCGTGAAACGAGACAGGATGTTTTAAGTTTTGACAGCTCTTATCTAAACCCACATGCTCTGCAGATCAAGTTCATCGTAGATGGTAACTGGAAAGTTGATCCCCTGCGTCCTGTTGTTCAACACAGTGGTTATGTAAATAATCTCTTCATCGTCGATTGAGAAGATACCGGAGACTTAACCGAGGACAGAAAGATTCCTTTTGCGGCTAACAGAAAATAAGAGACTGATTCATTGATTAACAGCAGCAGCTGCTGTGATTTTTTTTTTTTGTCAGTTTCCATGTAAAAAGTAGAAACTTTCCTTTGTCTAGCATTCTCTAATGATTCTTTTTGCCAATGGGACCAACAATAAGGATAGGGGAATAGCCGATATTGCAGCATGAATTGAATTCAGCGTTACTTTCCCCTTGTTGTAGCTGTAAACAGTAAACCCCTCATTGTAATCAAGTACAGAATCTTACGTGGAGATATATGATTTTTCAGATTCTTTTTTCAGAAGAATGTGCAATGCGCTACATTAATTAACTACGGCCGCAGCCCCGCTCACAACGTATGTGAACCGGCTCTGAAAGGCATAAACAGCTCTGGAGTGAATGAAACAGGCTTGGAAGAACTGTAAGTGGCGTAATCCCCATGGCCAAGCTGACCAAATGAAACATCCCCAGTCCCCACGAGTGAAAATGCACCCTTCATATGGGTTCCAGATCAATTTTAGGAAACCCATCAGAATGGACCAAATTTGAAAAACTTTCCAGTGCCTAGCTGTCCATCGGTACCTGCTCCCCAACAACAGGTGCTCTGAATTTCTGCAGACGGAGGCTTTTCTATGGGGAGAAAAGTCGGACAGTTTAGTTAGACACAAACCTTTCCAGAACGTATTCATATCAATGCTTTCTCTTCTGTAGACACTACAAGGAACTTGTTTTCCTCGTACTACTAGCAGGTTTCGGACATTAATCAGTTCAAGGATTTGATAAGTCAGTGATGCGCAACTTCGGCAAAGACAATCCGCTTTGCACCTCAATTTTCAAGCATGTGAAGGAACCAGAAACTGGTCTGGATCTAAGAAAACAAGCTCAAAGATTCCAACAATGCCCAAGTCTGACATGGAAAATCATCCAACATACCAGATATTCCACATTGATTAAGATGGTACAACAACAATATAAACCCCTTCGATACAGAAAGGATTACTAGTAGCTTCAGGCAACATTTTTTTTCCTCACTAATTCCTGCAAAGTTCCCTCCTTTCTAACATCATGAGTTCCTAACAGACAGACTAACAAAATCCCACAAACTATACACTTCCAAGGAAGAAGCATTATCTAAAGATTTCAGGCACAGGTAAACGAGCTTCTATCTACAGGATATCATCGTAAGCAATGATTTCTCGGCCACGGAAAGGCACATCCAATGTCGTGGAAGCAGAAGCAGAAGCAGAAGCACCAGATTCCGATGTGCTGCTGCTGGTATTATTCCTCGGGTTTACAATAGCGGAAGCAAGCTTCTTCCCTCTGCCATGCCTGCGGAGCGGAAGCTCTCCCCTCAGAAGCTTGGAAGCTGATCCTGACGACGGTGAGCTATCGTTGCTCTTGTTAACTCCAACCCTGATTCCTTCCCTCCACTTAGCGAGTGGGTCTGTTGCCCATAACACCTGTAGCTGCATACATCCAAACACAGAGGAAAGCAAAAAAACCCCAAGGTTAAGAATCGATTTGCAAAGTAACTAGGCCAAATTCTCTGAATAATAAACATCCAATCCCAATTTAGGCAACTGGGTTCATCGCGAATGAGAAAAGTCCAAGCGGAGATAGAGAGAGAGGAAGGGTTACTAAATGAAGCATACCCGTCTGGAATCAACCGTGATGCCGAAGGAATCGTCGAGGGCAGCCGCGATGGCAGCTTCGGCGGACTCCCTAGACCGGAAGGTGATGTAGCCGACGCCGTCGATTCGGATTCGGGAGATTGCGCCGTAGATCTCGAATCGTGATTTGAGGTCCAGGACGGAGCAGTCTGGGGATAATCCCATCACCACCACAGAAGCCGGCGGATGCGTCTTGCCTTTGGCGGCGGGGTTGTCATCCGCTGCCGGTGGTGGATGTGGGCGACGGCGCTTAGGTAGAGGAGCGCGGTCGGGCCCGGAAAAGTAGGGTTTATCTCTCTTGCGACTCATCCTCGAGGTCTTCCCTCTGAGACTCAAATTGTGTCGTGTAATTCAATTGGATTCAGCTCGGTGAGCGAGCTGAACTGAGTCAGCTATGGGCTTGGGAGTTTGTCTTACCCAGAACTGGCTGGAGTCTGGACTGGAAAGTCCCAGCCAAGCCAACATATGTTAGGCCGGGCTTATAAATGTGTTTTTTATTCTGATAAAATTGTAATAGTTCAAAATCACTTTCAAAATTTGACTTGTGAAAAGTTGAAAAATATTTTTTATAACATAAAATCAGGAGGTTCAAGTTAGAAACTTTTTATAAAAAGTTGTTTTGTTAATACAATATTGCTCTTTCATTTAAATCAGGTCACAGCCTTGCTCTTTCCATTCTTTTCTCCATGTAGGATCAAATGAGGTTATGCAATTGTGCATAACTAGATACTGTTCTGTACTTTTACTAGTTGTGCCCGCTCGATGGGCGACATGTTTGAATAAATTTTAGTTGTTATTTTTAAATAGCAATAGGTTACTATTTCTCTTTCTATATATTTATCAAGGTAATTTATTATTCAAATTTTGTTTGATAGTAGGACTGTCATATTATTTTTGAGTGTGGCAAGGAGCAACGATGATGTAAAATAATAATAGTCATAGCTTCATCACCATTTTGAAACTTGTATTCACGATCATGCTATTTGATTGGCCAACATTTTTCAATATTATATGTTGTTCATAACTTTTCATTGATTTCGTGTATCCATATGTTTGATCTCAACTTGTTTCTCCTTTGATGAATGCACAACTCTACTAACTTAGAAGTTGAACTTGCTGGTGGTAGTAGACTACTCAATAAATTGTAATTTTTTTTACTAATTGATACTGTTGGGGGTGTACGAATGAGAAGGCCTCGATATGTGGGCGGGGCCCACTAGGAGTCATGAAGTCCAAATAGTCCGAGAAGCTGAGTACACTCAAGACTCCGGAGTGGGCCGTGATTGGCGCCCATGGGTTTAGATCGGAATGGCAAGTTGGCCTGAGCACCCGGAATGGTAGTACTTGCGCGTTAGGCGCCTAGGGTGAGTTGTGCGCGTCTAAGGAAGGCGCCCGAAATCACCTTCGGAGGGAGCGCCCGGAACCACTCATTAAATGTTAGGGTGACGTGGGAATCCGTACAGGAAGATCCAGGTAAGCACTGATCGGCTATAAATAGCGAGGTTGGTAAGCATTTACTCAATTTGGCTTCTCTCACTAAATTTGTGCATTGCAAGCACTTCTCTCACTAAGAAAGTTACTGACTTGAGCGTTGGAGGACTAACGGGCCACAAGGCCCACCTCTGTGAGTGCAGGCCTAAGCGTGAGGGAGTCAGCTGGTACGGAGGAGAAGTAGGCCGATCGAGTGGGCTTCAACAGATACATATAACTACTCTTGCCCATCATTCAAATAATGATCCATTTTGTCACCTATATAATTAAAGTCAAAAGATATCATTGTAAATTTTTATGTACTCTAAAAAATATTTTATAACTTCAATATCTCACACTAAGAAAACCAATAGTAATTGATGAGAAGTGACCGATCTTGTCACTAATGGAATTAAACTATACGATACTATTATAGATCATTATGTACACTTGAACCATACCCTTTTATCATATGGAGTTGTTTTTCAACTCAATTCTATGTTTGACTAATGTACAAATCAACAAACTTAGTAGTTGAATCTTTTGGTGGTAGTAGATTTCTCTATTGATGATAAATTTATTCCAGAATTGAAAACATGCATAACTCACATCCATTATTCAAACTATAATAGTACATAAATATGTTGTATCATTGGTTACAAGAGGTGCAAACAGAGAAAGTTGGATCCAAAACAGAGGAGCCACCCCAAAGCAACAAATTGAATCCAATTATGCTTGAGAGGTATACTGGTAAACATCAAAGAGCAAAGCACAAAGTGAAACAATCCAATAAGAGAGCAAACACTAAAAAATATCACAAAACACGCAGAAATCCTCTTGTTTCCAAAACAATCAGAGTACAAACAAGCACAGAATCAGCTCGTCCAACACAACCAAGACCATGACGATTGAACTCAGCAACGCCAACTACCGCCTCCTGGGAACCGATCAAAGACAACCCATCACATTGAATCTCGAAACCAAGATTACATGCCACTCAAAGACCGCACCAAGTTGAAAGGCAAAGGAAACCGAGGCAGAGAAAATCGCGACCAAGGAGAGCGGAAGACCACAGGACTCCGAGGAACAACAACGTAACCCCGCGACAATTGGAAAAGAAACCGTCACTCACAATCCGTCGAGCGCCTGTGAGACAGTTCCAAACTGCCATGGAAGGACAAAGAGGGGAAGACGGTGGATGGATTCACTAGAAGCCATGAAAACCACCAAATTGGAGGGAGACCACCATTTGTAGATCTAGTAACAATACCCAATCTGTCTAATCCAGATTTCTGAGAGAGCAAGCTCAGATCTAGAACAACTAGATCAGCAACAAAACAAATTCATCTTCATAGAAGAGGATTGATGAAAGATCTCACAAAGGGAACAGAAAAAGGCCACAAAGGGCTTGAAAGGCTTGAAAGGAAACGAGGGAGAGAACCCACAAGAAAAATGGAATAGACCATGAAAGTAAATGGAAATGGAGGCTTGGACCACCACCGAATACCTAGAGTTGCCGACAGCAGCCCTGAAGAAAAGATAATAGAGTTTTAGAGAGAAGGGAGAGGGGAGAGGGAATTTGAATTAGAAAGAGAAAAGGCTTGTAACCGTTATAGTTCAGCAGGGTGCAAGTCGTTGAGTTTTAATTTTTATTATTCTATCTTCGGGTATTTATGGGTAGATTGGGTATCCGTTAACCCATATGAGTTGGGGACATGAAATGAATTTTTCACTCCAAATATGAAAAGGGTACCTATTTTAAAAGGGTGGATGAGTACCTATTTTAAACAGGACGGATACCCGTTCCCATCCCGGAGTTAATTGCACCGGATACCACCTAAGTATTGGTTTTGTTGCATACTAACCACTTAAGTTCTTTTAGTTGCAAATAAACCATAGAAGTCGACTTCCGGTTGCACCGTTATATTTTCCATCCTTGGACTTAACGACAGGTATCAAATTAAAATTTTCTGCATATACACATTTACATTTTCCCTCACATTCTTTTATCTTCATTTCGGTATTACTAGTGCTCTCTTTAATTATCTTATGCCCTCCTTTATTGTTTTCAAAAAAAATTACAATTTTTTTTATTAATTTTTTAGCTCTAATCGAATTAAACACTGGCTTCATTCAAAAGTAAACTTTTTAAACTTATGTGGAATTCCTTATTCTATTTTTTCATAACATGTTTTGCCTAATTGGCACCTCGGTATAAGCTTTTCTTTTGGGGACAATTTTTTAGGTGCACTTCTTATAGATTGTTTAAATTTATCTATTATAAATGAGTTTGTATATATTAATGTTGCATAAGTATTTCAATGAATATTTGAGCTGAACGAAGTTCCAGCAAAAAAAGTCTTTCTTTTGCTGAGTTCTGTACACTTGAACTTCAGGTGACGATCAAATAAAAATTAAAGAAGCATATTGAGATTAAATACAAGTGGTTGCTTTAATCTGAATGAGTGAAGAAGAATTAAGAAAAAGTCTTATGAAATAAAATCGAGCGACAAAAAGAGTAAAGTAGTGAGGGAGTTTCAGGTGAAGTTTTATCATAGCTTTGTTACTAGTATTCTACTAAAGAAAAACTTCCAGAGCGAAACTCAGTTTTTCGACTACAGTTTGCAGACGAAGTCCCTATTGCCAACTCTATAAATAATTTTACAAGAGGATCGACAACCACAGAGCAAGAGAAGAATTTCAAAGGGCTATTGTGATCGGGTTTATTCAATCCTCCATTTTTTATAAAAAAAATTATTTATTTTGTAGAGAGGAAGAAAGTGAAAGAAAATGGTGTGGTGTAACTTAAGTTGGAAAACTTCAATTTGATACTCACCGTTAAGTTCAAGGAAGTAAAATATAACGGGGCAATCGAAAGTCGACTTATTTGGTTTAATTGCAATTAAAAAAATTTAACTGATTAATATACAGACTTCTCAATTAACCCTCCTCCCATCCCGTTGCCTAGGGAAAATGGAGTGATGAATCCCCGTCATATATTTTTTTAGATTTGATTAAATTAGACTAAAAAGCACACAAAAAATTGATCACTTCGTCGACGACAATTGAATCCGAATCCTTCCTCAACAGAAGCCCTAATTTCTCTATAGCTGACAAACCCTTCCTCTGCTTTTGACGACATCGATCGGCACATCGCATTCCTCCTCTTCATCGCCTGTACGACTGCTAGCATCTGGTCGTCCTTAACCTTCTCACGACACCTTCTCTGCTACTGCAGATTCATTTCCCACTGCTCAGCCGGACCATCACTGCTCCGCTCGTCATTACTTACCACGCAAGCTCTAGATTAGACAACAGCTTCTCCACCTTGTCACCACCGCGCCGGCTCCAAAATCCTCACGGCTCCAGCGTCTAGACCAGACCACCACTACTCTGCCTCTGTTGCCACACTTGTGGTCTATAGCGCCTGCGGCTTGCTGATTATTTATGTAGCTGTAAGTTTTTCTTTTTGTTGCTTAGGTCGTTTAGGTTGGCGAGGCTTGCTGATTATTTCTCTAGCTGTAAGTTCTCTTATCCCGTTGCTCAGTTAGGTAGGTTGTCGAGTTCTTTAGTTTTTGATGAAGTAATTCTGATAGAATTGAGATTTGGAGTTGCTAGTGGCGAATGGTGATTTGATATTATAGTTGAACTTAGTTATTTTTACTTAACTACAACAGAATATTTGATAGATTTGAGATTTCAACTGAATTTAGCTACTTGTACTGAATATTTGGGTTTGATTTGATGATGAAATGTGTTTTAGTTGGTGATTTGGTATGCAGTTGATATGGAATTGATGATAAATTTTGGATTAATAGGTATTTGGCTTCTCAAGTATGTCTAGGCTCTAGCAGTGGTAATACAATGAATGCTTCATCAAGTTCCAACAGTAAAATGGAAATAAAATATAGCTGGGAATCGTGTTGATCTTGGGGTGGAATATGCTATAGATGTTAAACTTAAACTCGTTTGTGAGAATTTGGATTCTTAAACTCGTTTATGAGTTATGATCTATGCTAGAGTGTTTAAATCAGATTCTGGGCCTCACTTTTACTTTCTCCTACAGGGTGCTTGTTAATTTGCTGGGATCGCTGTTCTGTCTAAAAAGATGGTCTCTCTCTCTCTCTCTCTCTCTCTCTCTCTCTCTCTCTCTCTCTCTCTCTCTCTCTCTCTCTCTCTCTCTCTCTCTCTCTCTCTGTGTGTGTGTGTGTGTGTGTGTGTGTGTTTCTCTCTTGTACTTAGTGTATGTTTAGCCATGGGAATTCATTGTTCGAGCCCGAAAGGAAAAAGAAATAAGCTGTTGCCAATATCTGTTTGGCTCAACGTGTGCATTATTTCCTTGATCCTGCAACAGAATTGGGGATTGAAAAAGATTGCTGTTTGACTTTGTTACTTTCTGTTTTCTGCTCTACGTCCATTGTTCAGGACAGGAAACCGTGTCCCTCTAGTAGGATATATGTTTGCTTTGTGGGTAAGACGATCTAATGGTTCACTTTCTGTTGCAGCTTCCTCTTTCGCTATTGAAGACGGCACAAGGCCATCCCATGGTAGGGTGCCTCCCACCTTTTTGGATTTCAGCATTCTTGCTGGATTTTCTTGTTTGTTGGGTTTTGTTACCACCTTCATTCTTTAACTGCAGGTTGTAATTCATGCTGGTTTATGATGTCACAGTTGGTTGAGCTTAAAAATGGGGAAACTTACAATGGACATTTGGTCAACTGTGATACTTGGATGAACATCCATCTTCGAGAAGTTATCTGCACCTCTAAGGTATCTCTCTTTGCTCTTACTGTGACAGGTTGTGTGCTCCAGAAGGGCTGGAATTGGTCTCATGCTTCTATCTTCTAATTTTGTTTTCCAGGATGGAGACAGGTTTTGGCGTATGCCTGAATGCTACATACGTGGAAATACCATCAAGTATCTCCGGGTTCCTGATGAGGTATTATATGACTAATTTTTCACCATAGTTGGCAGTTGAGGATGTTGCTAATATTTGTTCACACATTGTCAAACTAGTTCTCTTCCTCTAGGTGGCTTTCAGGATGGTGTTATTTTCTGAATGTGCCTTTTTCTCTGGATTAGTAGCAATGGTTCATTCTGATAAATTATCTGTTTAGCTTAACTTTATTCAAGTAAAATGAAATTCCTGATAGATGATTTCTGGTCCTTGATACTTGATTATCAATTTATTCTTACACGCAAGGTGCTGACATGAAACTCGAAATTAAAATTGGAAAACCTAGCTATCTTCAGGAATGTAAATCTAATGGTGTAACTTGCTGCGAAGAAATTGAGGTGTATGACTGTGATATTTTAAACTTCAGAAATTGGTAGTTCAAATCCTTTTGCTTCTTCCCAAATATAGATCTAATAGTACTATTGAGTGGAGACTTTTTTTTCCTGATAAGAGACTGAACTTTTTGAGGCGCATGGAATATAGCCGAAAGGAAGTCTGTGCCGTTTTCTTTTGAGTTTGTCATCTTTGTTTCATGTGTATTGAATAATTATTTGATTGAGGATTACTACTGCCAGATATTGCTAGCGTTTGGCTGCCATGTATTTGAGATGAGCTTGCCATGTGTTTGCAATTTCAAATAGTTAATGTAAATCTGTGGCCACTTTTGCTCTCATGACTCTTGCTTTTTTTATATTCCAGGTAATTGATAAAGTTCAGGAAGAAACAAAAACCCGCTCAGGTATGATTGCACTTAGATAAGCTGTGTGAGCATTATTCAACCAAACTTGTAATGATGTCGACATAGGTTCTGATGCTTCTTTTGAAAAAAAGGTTCCTGAAGTGCTATTGTTTGAAATAGGTAGTGGTTTGATTCGGACATATATGATCTCTGTTGAATGCACATGACCCTTACATATCTCTCACCCCACCGAGGGAACAATTTGCTACATACTTTTTGTGCTGAGTGCTGAATTCGGTATGCTGCATGCACTGCTTGTCTAGAAAGCACTTTCTGGCAGTTATCCTAATCGGCTGGATTTGCTAATCAGATCGAAAGCCACCTGGAGTTGGACGTGGTAGAGGGAGGGGTCGAGAAGATGGTGCTGGCGGAAGGGCTCCAAAGGGTGTTGGCCGTGGGCTCGATGATGGGGGAGCCAAGGGTCCGGGTGGAGGGCGCGGAAAAGGTGGTCCTGGTGGGAAGCCTGGCGGAAGCAGAGGTAACAAAACTTATGGCACCTGTTAGGTAGTAAAGATTTGTTTACCCTATGGAATTAATTCGGTACGCCATTGCTGTTCTGGCAGGTCCAGTTAGAGGACGTGGTTGATCCGTTGTAACGATGGCTAAACGTCCAGGGGGGAGGGGCTAGCTTGCTTGCTTGCTACTTTTTCGAAGCATTTGGCAACCTGCCTGCACTGTCAATCCGTCAAGAGTTCTTTTGGTAGAATGCTATACAATGATGCATGTTGTGATTTTCTCGTGTTTCTTCTCTCTTGTAATTTAAGGGTCTCCACCAACCAAGTCTCAATGTTCCGCTTACGGAAAAAACGACCAAGCCAAATGTGGCTCGTATCCAATTGCCAACCCTAACCCATGGGTTTATTTTGGTCAATTCTCCAATCGATTGTTTGGATGTTGTAACTCTTCCCTCTTTCGTCCCTGAAATTTAGTAATCCTAATATGCTCCTTCACCCTACTTGGCATTGTTGTTCATAATAACACCCTGATCACAGTCCCATTTTTGGTTTCACACAAGTAGGAATCTAGGATTCCAATTCAAATGAATGCAAATTGGCCAACTTCTCAATCTAACTTAATTTGATCATACACCTTCATTTCATGCAATCAAGCATTAAGCACAACATTTTAGCTATCTGACAAAGAGAATTGCAACAAGTAGTCAACATATCATAGCTTAGGATGAAAACTCCCAAGTTCAAACATGAAATTTCATAAATCATGCGCAAAAATTGAAATGGACAAAAAAAAAAAATCGATGATTCGAACTCCTAATTCAACCAAAGAGTGATAGGTACTGACCTAATAGCCTTTAAACATGAAGAAACAATTGTTAGGTATGCGTCAGTGATGGCGATAGAGAGCCCTGGTAAGGAGGACGATGAGCAGTGGCTTGCGTATTGGATCATTTACAGCTTCTTAACCCTCTCGGAGATGTTATCGTCGAGGGACCCAGAAAAGAATGAAGGAGTGGAAGAGGAAGGGATCCGTAGCCTGCTTTAGTTTTTTTTTTTATTAATTTATTAGTTAAGCCACACCCACCCAAGAATCACAAACCGAACCGGTCTGAAATGATGAGGTGGAAAGAATTTTTTATTTATTTTTTATTTTTTTTAATTTCCACGTCATCTAGTTAACGGTCAAACTTTATAGTTGACTGCCACGTAGGACAGACTTAACGGAGTGTAACGGCCGGTGACCAACCGTGAAACGATTCGTAAAGTTAGTGGCGAATAAGAAAGAAAAGTAATTCGGGTGGCAAACGTGAAAGATTTGTATAATTTGAGTGACCAAACGTGTAATTTAGCCCTTCTTTTTCTACGGCAGGGTTGACCCCTCTAGTGGTGGTCATCCGTGGGAGCCGGACGCGGTTTGTCTTTATGTAACCTAATTCGTGGGTTTGGGCCCAACGCTCTCGCATTAGAGCGTCAAAACGTAGATCCGAGGGAAAGCGCATGAAATTCACGAATTTGTTTATATGAGAGCTCGAATTTTCTGCGAAAGTGCGCGATTTGGAAAAGAATTATCAATCCTCTTCTTTGTGTGGCTTTCATCGGCGAAGTGTAAAAATTGCTCTTACTCGGTCATCTCATGGTAGTAAGAAACAAAATCCTCTTGTGTTTCAAAGTTGAAAGTGGCAAACAATATCAAATGAAGGGAGGAAAAATCCTCTTGTCAAAAAGATATAGAGATGTGATTAAAGTCAAAGTAAAGTTTGCAAAAGGTTTCACCCCATGCATTTTTTAAATTGTTGTGCTTGGTTGATTGTGTGTGAGTTATGAAAGTAGGCCATAACCCATAAGTCTAGTTTACTAAAGATGGCCTTATCTGGATTCATTAACTAAAATAATTTCACTTATTTCAATTTGATGCAGGAACCATTAAAAAATGTAACCCATACTCAAAGTAGTTAAAATCAGGATTTTACGTAAAATCGAAAATGAGGGTAAAATTGGAATCGTAAAATCTTAGGATTTTAAAGTTCATATTAAAATGAAGACGAAATAATATTAATACGGAAAATCACGAATAACACAAAAACACATAACACTTACAATGATAATTTTTCAAGGTTAATGTTCCAATTTATCAATGTCAATATTAAGAGGTGGTGAATCGATGATGATTAATACGTTGTTGTGAATTGATGATGGTCGATGGTGGTTAGTGTGAGAGAACTAGATGGTGTTGGTGTGGAGGAGAAGGAAAAGAGGCATATTTTTACAAATTCTGGGGAAAATAAGTAAATTTGACTCAAAGATTTGAGTCGTAAAATCGTAAGATTTTAAGGATTTAAATTGTGAATAGTGTAGGATTTTAAGGTTTATAGATTTTATAGTGAAATCAGAATCGGAATAGGGTAAAATCGTAGGATTTTAGGATTTAAATCGGCATGTTGACTACTATGCTCATACGGACTATCCGTGACAATACACTTGCATTCGTTTGAAGCAGTATGACTTCAGCCTATTTGTCATTGTCGGTCAGTAGAACACGGTTCAACCAGTAACGGTTACAAAACTGGCTAAAATGCTCACGAAATGACCGATATGATTGATTTCCGACCTTTAAACGAAATAACATCATTTTAGTGAATTAAATTGATAAAGAAAATAATTTCTGATTTATTTTTTTGAACTGAAAGTTAACCGTTGATGTTATTTGTTGGATTCAAGTATGAATATTTAGATATTTATGTTATTTGTTGGATTCAGTAATAACCTTTTGAATGTTGGCGTTAAATGTTGTATTTAAATATGATAATTTTTTCATTTTGTTTGGGATATTGTATTTTATTTAAATATGGATATATATATATATCCATATTTAAATATGATAATTTTCATACCCAAGGTATGCGGTACCCTAGATTTCACCCGGGGTACCGTAGAAGGCACCATATATATATTTTAGAGATCTTCTTCAAATATGTTAGATATAAGAAAAAAAGTCATCTACTGTAAATGATTTCCCACCTCTCGACATGTTTTTCTAAAACAAACTTGAACTGGTATAAACAAGTTGTACCACCGGTCAGACCATATCAGGGATGACAAAATAATCTATCGTTGTGGGTACTCAACCAAATTGAAATTGATTTTATCAGGGGAAAATCCAATCGATATTATTTTGGATTGGATTTTCCCATAACCTGACGAGGATGATAATAAGTTCGTTGCGGTTTTGGTATATTGGGTATCCGCATCAATCCCATCCGAATATGTGTTGTATCTATGTTCTAGACACTCACTTTAACACTTTGGTCATCCATATCACTCAAATATTATAATCATCTCTTAGTTCTCAAACCTTGCTCATTATGAGAATAATAAGTTTCAATTACAAGGGACTTCTGAATGATGAGGCTAAAGCTAACATCAAAACTCTCGTTAATGAGCAGTCCCCTCATGTTCTTTTCCTTATGGAGACCCATATGCCTGAGTCTGGTAGGAAAGATTTCAATATGAATTGGGGGTTAAAGACACATTTGGTCACTGAGATTACAAAATCGGGACATGCTTAGTCACTAGAAAAAATTAATATCAAATTTGGCCACTACAATTACTAAAACTGGACACATTTAGTCACTCGCCGTTAGTCTCCGTCTAACTCCGTTAATGAAGTCCGTTAAGTGCTGATGTGGCAAACAGAATTGCCTAATCAGCCGTATATAACCCAACAAAAATAAAAACCGACCCGCCACATCATTATAACCCGCCACGTCATTAAAACCAACCCAATCCAACCCAACCCCACCCAACCCTTCTTCCTCCTTCCTCCCACCTCGGCACCTCCCACCCTCGTCATCTTCACCCTGAATCCCTCCTCCACACTCTCCGCCGACGAGTACACTCCCATCGACAACATAGTCGTCGATTGCGGTTCCACAACCCCCGGCAGCAACACCGCCGACGACCGGAGCTGGGACGCCGACGACCGGAGCTGGGACGCCAACAACCCCTCGAAATTCCTCCAGCCCGGTTCAGAGTCGGCTTCTTCCACACCAACAGAACCTTCCACAAGGCTCGAAAAAGTGCCTTACCTCTCCGCCCAATGGTCTCGCTCCAACTTCACCTACTCCTTCCCAGTCAGCCCGGGCCAGAAATTCATCCGCCTCTACTTCTTCCCGGCGACATACTCCCCTGATTTCAACAAATCCGCCGCCTCTTTCTCCGTTGTCGCCAGCCAATTCGCCCTCCTCGACAACTTCATCCCGGATCTCCACCCTCTATCGACAAAGGAGGACGGATTCCAGTTAGAGTTCTGCTTAAACGTGAACCCTAATCAGCAACGTCTCAACCTCACCTTCTCCCCAACCCCCGGCGCTTACGCTTTCATCAACGGGATCGAAGTCGTCTCCATGCCCACAAATCTCTACTACTCCAACGCCGACGCTGGGCTCAACATCATCGGCAACGGCAATCAGCAGGGCAGTATCCGAAACGACACCGTGTTGCAGCTGATGTACAGAATCGACGTCGCCGGGCAAGGCAGCTCTCCCGACGGCGGCACCGGGATGTTTGGCAATGGAGCCCTGACGATGAATACCTCAACATCGATCATCCTCCGAGCTCTGTTTACTACAATGACTCGGTTCCCCTGAACTCCATTTACAGTAACGACTCGATTCAGCTGCAGTATAGAAACGAGATCCATAAGCTCGTCGCGCCGGCTTCATCTCTCCCTGCTCTCTGCTCTCAGATTGGTTTGATCGAAAATGGCGAAGGGGAAGAGCTCGGGAAGAGCTCGAGGAAGGAGAAGGGTTTTTGGGTCTGTAATGGAAACAAATCAATTTTGATTTGTTTAAGTGGCCTCTGGTCTGGTTAGGTGCGTTAGGGTTTGTTTCTGGGTCGGGTTTAATACGTGGCGGGTATAGTGACGTGGTGGGTCGGATTTGGCCATTTTCGGTCCAAAATGGCGCTGACTAGGCGTACATGTTTGCCGCGTCAGCACATAACGGACTCTTTTAACGGAGTTGGACGGCAACTAACGGCGAGTGACTAAGTGTGTCCTGTTTTAATAATTGTAGTGACCAAATTTGATATTAAATTTTTACAGTGACTAAACATGTCCTAATTTAGTAATCTCAGCGACCAAATGTGTCTTTAACCCTGAATTTGGGCTTTGACAACGTGAAGGGATTCCTGCGAATGGTAATGCAGGTAGATTATGTCTCTTCTGGTCGTCAGAGGTTGAGATATCAATTAAGGATTCGTCTTTATATCACTTGGATGAAGATGGTTGATATCCCCGATCAGAGACACAAGTATATATTACTCACATCACTTAAATGTGACGACAAAACTTGATTCATGCCAAATATGTACAAGGAAATTTCGAACCTGAAACCTAATCATATTAAATGCCTCAACCACCACCAGACTATCTTATACACATGAGGTCATTGGCCTAATGAAAGACACCTTCACTATCTAACTAAACTTAAACTCTCTCTTAGATCAAGGACTACAGTAATTTAAAGATCAAAGTGCCAATGAGTTCCTAGAAACTTGAAATAGGTCATTTGTACAACATCTCAAACACCCAACGCCAGATAAAAGACAACCCACCTCATACTCAAAGTGTTCAAGTATTCGAAAGGCATTATTCTGAAGGCCCTAAGGTTATTTGGCTTAAACAAAAACCAAAAAATGTATGTCCCTTACTAATCCGAGAATCAAAATTTAAAGCTACATTGTTGTCCTTTTAGGTGCAACTGAATTATAACTGAATTGACAAGTCCAAAGAATGAAAGAGGTGACAAAACAAAGAAACATTAGAGCCCTTCAATGAATCATCCTCCAACACATCTTCGGAAAATCCAACACTCTATACTTTGATTATGCCGCCGATATTCCTCCATTCTTCTCGTCTCCTGCTGCTAATCAGCTTAAAGCAAAAACCAATCATATAAAATGCAACCGCCCTGCTCGCATGATCCTTTCTCCAACGCCATGGCTAATTGGGTCGAGCTCCTTTCTTAATGAGGTATTTGTGCATATGAGAGATGCTCCCTTCCCTTTAATTCCGATCGCGAGTCTGCACTTTCCATTCCCTCCCCTGTTTCCATGGCTGCCTGTTACTTGGCACTATCGCTCTCTCCTTCTTTCAGCAAGACCCACCATCTCGCTTTCTTGCCGAAACCACTGACCCACCAAAACCCTCGTCGGGTTATTCAACAGAGCCAGAGGCGGACCCTTCTGGAGTCGAAGAGGTCTACTTTGGAAAGTCGTATTCTTCTTTCTACTGCACTCGGGGCTTATTCCTCGCGTGGGTTCATCGACCCGTCTGCTGATGACGAAGCAATTCTGCCGGCGGTTGAGGAAAAGCCGATTAAGTTTCTTATTTGGGTCGCGGTTTGGGCTTCCCTTTCGCTTGTTTGGTTCGCGTCTTCCGGGGATGCGAAAGCGGCCGCCGATTCTTCCATCAAAGCTTCCAGCTTTGGTCTGAGAATCGCTAATGCGCTTCGAGGCTCCGGCTGGCCGGACGAGGCCGTGGTTTTCGCTCTCGCTACCCTTCCTGTGATTGAGCTTCGTGGGGCTATTCCAGTCGGTTACTGGCTCCAACTCAAGCCCGTAGCGCTCACCGTTTTAGCCGTAATTGGGTCAGTATTGAGTTTCCCAGCTTTAATGTTCTTCGCTGTTTGTGATTCTAAGACTGCCTTGCCTGCAACCTGTTCGAAGAAATGCTTCTGTGACAACATAGCAGCTATTGGTGACTGAGAATTTTGTTTGCTTTCAACCTGTTTGAAGAAATGCTTCTGTGACACATTACACCGAACCTACTGGCATGCCCTGAATGGTAACAAAATTTTGGGGGGTGTTCTTATGTGCAGGAACATGGTCCCAGTGCCTTTCATCATACTATACATGAAGAAGTTTGCTTCTTTCCTTGCTGGAAAGAACCGGACAGCATCTCGATTCCTCGAGATGCTGTTCAAGAATGCCAAGGAGAAAGCTGGCCCCGTTGAAGAGTTTCAATGGCTTGGTCTGATGCTGTTTGTGGCTGTACCTTTCCCTGGAACAGGAGCATGGACAGGTGCCATTATAGCTTCCATTCTCGACATGCCTTTCTGGCCAGCCGCATCAGCTAACTTCTTCGGTGTGGTGTTGGCCGCGCTGCTGGTGAACTTGCTGGTGAATCTGGGACTCAAGTATGCCATTGTCACTGGTATCGCCCTCTTCATTGTATCTAGTTTCATGTGGAGCATACTTAGGAAAGTTAGGAAGTCTTTCAGCTCCCTCTAAACTGAACATCATTCATTCGCTCTGGTCATAGGGACAAAAATTTAATTTTAATGAATGAGTGACGACGAGGTCACTTCGAGCAAGTTTTAGCTTAGATTTGGAAGTTTAAGTTGGTTTTGCAACCGTGATCACCATCTATGCTCAGAAACCTTTAGCTGCTTTGTTATGAAACCCTTCAGTTACTCGGTTATCTAAGTAGTAAAATGCAGCATTCTCCAGTTTTCAGCTGTAAAGCTGTAAGCTCGTAAGTCGTAACTATTGCCTCGCCTGTGTAAATAAGTACCAGGGAATACATTTTCGGTTTAAGTTAGGGAAGTTGATTGCCTGTGACTGATTTTTGCCTTTAGATTTTGGATAACTAGAGCTGAAAAGTGCTCTGCAATGGGAGGGACTGCTCGACGTGGCTACTGTCTTATTTGACATAGGCTTGAGTTCTATGATTTGTGATTACGAGGTAGAAAATTTTAATCCCTATTTCCAAAGATATGAAGATGCTGAAAAAGTGATTCAGTTCAGGTTGATCGTCCTTTCTGCGGAGCGCAGTCATAGTGTATGTGCATTTCCAATTTCAATTGTGATTATGTCGAAATGGGCTTTGGGACATATTTGGAATTTAAGGCCTTGGATTCATATTGGAGATTCTTAGATCCAAGGGCTAAGATCGAAAATTAACGTAAGTTTTAAGATTATGTTTTCTTATTCAAAGCCCTCAATTAAGGATATGGGATATGTATATGGAGATAGTTAGGATTTTCTAAATTGATACATTTAATTAATTTATGTATTCTATTGTTTCAATGTATGAATTTGAAAAATACATAATTTGGAGGTTGAAGGATTTTGGTAGTCTTAATAAAAAATGAGGTTAGTAAAAAAGAGAGATCGATAGCTGAGATTGACAATCCATAATGAATGATTTTAGTTGTCTCATCTTATACTCAAATACAAGTATTATGTTTCATTTTAAGACCAAAAGAATGTTGAATTCTCATAATTACATGTGTTATCTAAATACATTATCCTGAGATTGTACCCTCCTACTCTACCCTGGGAGCCTTGGGCTTCCTCCTGAAACCACCCTAGTCAGCATGTTTGGTTCACCCTCTCGTCCCAAGCCTGGTCGGTTGTGGCCCACATCAGCCCACGCGTCTGTTCGGTCGGCCATGATCAACTCGTGGCCCTTGCAAAGAGGAGAAATCGCCCCTTGGACTTGGTCTTTCGACCTTCTAGGTGGCACTTCTAGTTGTTGTTCGTGGTGTAGATGTGGTTGAGGCTCGACTTCTTGTGTGGAGGTCCAAGTGGTTCTGGCTCTCCATTGATTGGAAGTGCGAAACTGGAACTACTTCCGAAGGACGAGCATTGGAACTCTCCCCCATCAAAGGATTAACCCTTAGAACAATTCCTACACACAAGGAAAATTCATGCACATCCATGCCAAACACATTTCATATATTATCAATGAATGAAATGAACACTTCTTATCATCCCTAGGATCCAATCTCATACACCCACATACTTGATGTTTACTATGTAAAACAAGGGTTAAGTGAAAAGCAATGTCGAATTAGGTAGTTAACGATTGTGATTGATTAGTTCTACTGACAACAAGTCAATCTAGGGGTTCAATGACGAGGCCAAAGGCAAGGAACAACCTAAATGACTAAGGTAAGGGTATGGACCGATTGCTCAAAAATCATATCAAAGCGGTAAGTTTAGGTGAGCAAAGGGGCCATCAATTTGTTATTCATCAAATCATTACAAGCACAAATTATGTGGTTTGGACATTTCATCGAGCACTTGGTGGGCGACAATCAAAACATCTAGAATCATGCGATTCATGCCTACCAAGGCCTCCAAACCACATACATTCACTCATAAACATGCAATACACAACAACATTCCAACATTTCATCATTTATCCCTCCACCATTGTCCATCAAAACTTATTCTTAACTAAGGCAAGGTCATTCACTATCACTCTAACAACAAACACGCCTAAAAAAAAGATTCAATAATGCCAGTTCTTTATCGAGATGTAAGGAGAAGAAAGGCAAACCGAAGTTGGGATGCCTCCCAACTAGCGCATCTTTCACGTCTTATCGTCGGGCGATTGCCTTCAAGTTCCTGGTCCAACTTAAAACCTCCTTGAAATTGAGGTTTTCATCAGCAAAGTGGAGTCTCAAGTCTTGATCGGTCTCCCAATCATTCGGTGATGGCTCACGTAGAGGCAATTGCTTGAGAAACCACAATTGAACCTCAAATCACTTCATTTCTTGTTCTCTTTACCTCGAACCAAATCAAGTATCTTCAAAGGGTCATCCTCACATCTACCAAGAGAGATTGATGATGTCGTGGCCTCGTCTCAGCAAAGAGTTGTTGCAAAAGGATCCGATGCTAAGAGTCATTTAAGGTCGGGTAACCTTCCTGGTCAAAATAAATGGCCTCTTCGGGCACACTAACCCACATGAATCCCAAATCATCTTCATCCTTTTCTTCAACCTCCTCTCTCTCTTCTTCATTCATATCTTCTCCATATTGAGTATTAAGCTCATCCTCTTCTTTACTTTCTACTTCCTCCTCATCAATGCTCTCTTCTATAATAACTTCTCTTTGTTGGTATGGAGCTATGATGTTTCTCCAAGCAAGTTTTTTACTATATAAGTCTTAAAAAGTTATGCGCAATAAAAAAAACTTTATGACATTCGGATTGAGTAACACAAAGTTATGGCCTTCCAAAGTTTGGCAAAATTGAAAAATTGCTCGTTCGGGGTAGCAAACGACATTTTTTGGGGATGAAGGCGAGTTGCAGATTGAAAGATATTGAAAATTTATGTGAAATAAAAAACAATCACTACGATTAGATAACCGAGCGCAAAGTCACGTTCTTTTGAAGTTTTAGCCTTGAGTCAGGCCTTCACCGCGGTCGACAACCGCAGTGATGCATTCACCGCTTTTGTCTGCCGCAGTAAATGCATTCACTGATATTGACAGTCGCAATGATGCCCAAATATGTGTAGATTGGGAATTTTTCATAAAACGTGTGTATTATGAGAATTTGTTTTTAAAATATGTGTATTTTTGGGATTTTCCCCCCGTATTTTGACACCCACATGTGATAATAATCACCTAGTTCCTCAAGATCCATCACACATCAATATTGTTCCAATATTGCAATTTGATTTTTTGTAGAACCACGAGACCGGACCATGTGTCGATATTGTTGAGTCACAACGTTGTTACTAAAATCGCAGTGCGGTTAAAGTTGCAACATTGCTCTTGCGCCAACATGGTTTTAAACACGACAATGCTTGAACCACAGCATTACTCGAACCATTCTCATGGAACGTCAAGACCGCATGGTTGCACCATGGCTCCGCCCCACAGACTAGCTTGGTCGAACAGTGGCTCCACTTGGCAATGTTGTTTTCTATGGAGACACAACCCACTGAAAGAGCTCAGAAATCCTGAGTTTCTCTATATTGATTAAGAGTATTTATACATCAATAGAATGAACAGACTGCAAATCCTACACAAAGGATGAACTGAACAACTAGAATTTGTTGGGAAAATTGTTCACGTATACTATTTTCTTGCAACACAAGCAAACACATAAGATTAAGAAAACATGCAAAGACACATGCAAGCGTTCTAGCCGATAGAATTCACTATCTCTCCTTAAAGAATCTTATTCCCCTCAAGTACCCAAGGTTATGGAATGATTCCTCCTAGGATAGAAAGGACATACCTTTTCCGGCGTAGCGGTACCTCAAACCCCGGAAACCATCGAACGCAACGAATCGGCGAGAACCACACTTGACTCTATCTTCTCTTTGAAAAGAATGCAGAAAACTAGTTTTGGATTTTGGCAGAATTTTGGTACCCGGAAAAACCCATGTTCATAACCAGAGGGGGTTAGGTGCTATTTATAGAAAATGAAGGGGTGCGTACGAAGGGAGGTGACTCTTCATATGGGTGGTTACACCCCAACCAACACATTGGTTCATGTTTGAAATAATGAACCATTGCATCGGTTCGGCCCATGGTAGTTGGACCAGTTTGGTTATTCCAACCGCCACATTGGTTCGGTTTGGTCCGTTTGGTACACAAACCAATTTAACCGATTAACCACATATTACATCAAATCGATCTAATTCGAGGTCGTGCCTTCCCACATCTTACCAACATGATACTTCAAGAGACTCTCTTGAAACTTTTCCCTTTTATTTCCATTCACACCACTAAAAATCCCAACAATCCCCCACATGAATGGAGAATGTTGTACTTTAAAAACTATGCAAAAAATCGTGTGATTCTCGACTAAGAATTAGTTGCATCGGAATAGGTAGGTTTCCCTTTGAACCTTCCTTAGTGAACATATATCGAGTATACTCACCAATCGGTAGATGTGATATCTTTGAACCGTCGGTTTTGCTTGTATACTAAGACAACATATGTCACACAACTAACTCTTATCCGTTCACTGGTTCTCATTGTTGTGTTCGTTTCAGCCATGAACACCGCCTGGTCTCATGAGTGCTTAGAGAACTGACCTTCTTTTATTCTCCTTGAAGCGGCTCCACTTCACACTCACATAGGTGATTTCTAAACATGTATTCCGAAAATACACTATTTGACCACATCCTGTGTCAAACTAAGAAACCATTAAAAACCTTCCATCTTTAGGTTTACCCTTATAGTTGGACATTGTCTCATCATGAGAATGGACTTTGAATAAGTTGACAATGTCGGACCATCATTCACAACTTTGTTTTTTCCTTGAACCTATAGGTTGGGTCTGCCAATCCTGCTTAGGTAGAGTTACCGCCATGATGATTTGTCCTAGGCCACGAGTCCATTCCCTTCGATGCTTTAACAAATTTCTAGGTGGGTCCCACATTTGTTATTACTTTATCTACATGATCAACTTAGATAACTTTGCTAGAAATTGACCTTAGTGTTATGTTTCCATTATCAATGACGAGATTTTCACATAACACTTCTAGCCCTTGCAATAACAATTTTGTGCACAAGTGCGTTTTATTAACGCCAGTCTTTGCGGGCCAAACTACTCAACTTCACCGGTCT